CAATGCGAAGACCTTGATAAATGCGATCACATAAAAGATGTGGTATATAAAATCTATATACTATTTGATTGAACAAATAAGTATATATGCTACGCAGACAAAAAGAACAAAAGTAGCAGCATCGGCAGCAGCTAATTTTAGTCGCTGGGCGGTGCATATATGCGGATCTGATTTAATCTACTGGAGCACATTTAAGCCAGTTACGTACAATAATTAAATTTTATTATTCGGCGCACAAATGTGTGTGTTTGTGTGTGTGCGTTAGTGAATCGATTTCGATGGTCGACTTTTCTACGAAATTGAAATTTCATTCAGCTAATTAAATTGACACTTCACACCGACAATCACATTGAATCGCTGATTAATACGAATTATATAGCCACCATAAATGGCATTAGAGTTTAATTATTCCTGAGGCTTGTTATAAATTTACCATTTCCATTGCTTATTTGCTTCGGTGATACACACTCATAGCAACAAATTCGAAACAAATTTTTCGTTGATCAAGCGTACGTCATTGTCGTTAATTGCACGTTCGTTTCAAAAAATTCCTCCTCTTTCTTCTCTTCATATCTTTTTTTTCTTCGACAAAATTGGCCATAAGTAGACTCAACCCATTGAAATCCGTCTAAATGATAGACATAGTCGATTTCAGATGAAAACTTAATGAAAGAATCAACAGTGACACGCGTACACATACACATCATATTCACATCATATTTGATCTTGTATAATGACGTGTGCTCGCACTAGATCACCAACCCGACGGCGGTAATAAGACAGCATTAATAGGTATACTGTAACTACTTGTCGTTGTTATTTAATACTTTATAATGGCTATGGCTTTTTACGGAATAAGTTTTATAAATGGTTCAATTGTCACATTCCTTTGAGTCAGCGATTTGTGTAAATAAAAATCCGGAACAAGTGGATTTGATATTCTCTCGCCTTCTTGGCGAAATCAAACAACCTCTGAGCCAAATGAGCCGCGTAATGCTGCCATTGTTCAATCACATTTATATGTTTTTTTATTAAATAGCTTTATATGAGCATAATATATTGCGGCTGCCAAAAAATTCTGTGCCCAATTGAGAAAATTCAAACATGATTGATTATGCTTACGTGTGTGTATTACCATATATGCGTCATAAACATATACCATTGAAAATGCGATTGGCCGACTGAAAAAACATACTCAATAAAATTGTTCTGAAGATCAAATCAAAGTCTAGGGCAATCTAACAACAACGCGCAACGGCGATGATGAAATCGATCAAAACACGCATTTTTTTTTTTAAAGAAACACTAGTATGAAATATGGTCAAGAGCACTTTATTTTCATCTTTCTCCCGGTTGGTATTGTTACCACGTCGTTAACAAATTGATTTTCTTTAAGGAATTAGAAACGAACGATGTCGTTTGACTTAAGCACATTGAACAAAACCAAATATAAAATACATTTTAAGGCCAATTTAAGTGTTCAGTTGGCGAGAGATTTCAAAAAGATAATAAAGATTGAATCGAGTGACCAAAGCCAATTCACATTTTCACTTCATTTCAAATACTTCTGTTTTGAATATGAATAAGCGGACAATGTCAAAATTGGACGTTGATAATACATAACATTTTCGGATGAAAACAACACCACACAAAAACAAACGATCGAAAACAATGTGGAGATTTCATTTTACGTGACTTGAAAACGATGAAAAGAGCAATCCAATTTTTTTTTTTCATGTGAAATTCACATTCGAATTTATTAATTTCATGCATGAATCATGATGCACTTCGACGTTTCCGTTTGAAATTTTGCATTTGTCCGAGGTCAGTTTCATTGATTTGCTACAGAATTTGAAATGCGCATGTGAAGCGATCTCATTTGAACAGAGAAAAAAAGGTGATCCGATTTTACGGTCAATACCGTTATTTGTTTACTGGTTTTTTTTTCTGTTTCGATCAAAGAGTATTAGGATATTTTGTAATCAAATAAAGAGAAAATCCGATTATGAAACATTTCAATCAACTCAATCGGATGCCTTTTTCATTCATTAACGATTTAATAACATTGCAAACGACACACACATTTAATAGAGATATACTTTTATTGACAATTTAACAATATATTAGCTATGTTGCATCTTTCTATCCTGTAATTCAAATGATTGACGGTGTTTTGTGAGTGCAATAAACGAGAGCTGTTGAATGGATGCACTGTTATTTTTCGGTAGCCGCGCATAAGCAATATATGTGCAATAAAACCTAATCAAAATTCAAACGGTTTGCGATTGAAACGAACGATATTCGCATTTCAATTGGCAATTTAATTCGGCTATCTTTACAACATTCTACTGTCACTCTTTCTCTGTACGTGTCTCTGTTTGTAGATCTAACAATCTTGATGCATTTGAAATTCGTCGATTTCGGCAAAATGAAATTAAATATGAGCAAATAAAAACAATTTTAATCATTCATAACAACGTGATCACGAAATGACATGATTGTACGCCTCTTTGTGTCTACTGTCTACAACTAATTATAGTTACAATGGCTACCATTTTTATTCACTTATTCTATGAATATTGGAATCTGTATCGGTTTCATTTTCATTTCCCAACAATAGAATAAGTGTCTCGATATCGAATGTAAGTGGTGATTTAATCTAACTACGAAATTGATATAAGAATCGAATTTGCATTAAAAGCGAATGTGCAAATAAATGAGCATGTTGCAAACAATACAAACGAGCTGCTGTGCGCATTGATACTGGCTACTGTTTGTTTTTATTGTTGTTGGTGGCAGTTTACTCTGATGAAAACGAAGTGCAACTGGTCCAGCAATAATGTCGCCAAACAAATTGCATGCAAAAAAATGGAAATGGATGTCGTCATTGCTACATTATTTAAATATGTAAAATTGTGTAGTTAAAAATATTTTTATGCGAGAAATAAGCAATTTACACGACTCAAGCATACAAAAAAAATGAAAAGGAGAAGGGCGAGCGAAGCATTAAAATAAGTTATAATGATCGGAAAAAAGTGATCGCCAACCATTTAAAAAAAACATGACCGGGTAACGGGTAACGGGACACCCGACACCAATATATGTGAAAATGCCAGAAAAAAAACTTTGAACTTACATGCGCCAGGTATGCATTCGACAGAATAAAAAAACAATAAAGTGATAAAAGAAATTTTAATCAGTTTAACACACACACAATATCAATGCCACAAAGCTATGCTGTTTAAAAAGCATGAGATTCGAGTTGGTCGGCTGATTGGCTACCGCTCGACAAAACAAACTAGTACAAAAGAATGCATGCTAAGCGATGTGAGAGACTATGATTATTGCTATTTCTTTTGGTGTATGTGAAATAAGTTTGTTGTCTCATTACGAACAACAAAAAACCCCGAACCAAAGAAAACCATAGAATTTATTATATCTCATTTATTCAATCTACGACTAAATCGACCATAAAAGGTGTTTTAATTGCTCATTTTAATAAATTGAATTTGCTTTGTTTTGCTGTTGAGATACGGCCACGTTATGGTTTTTCATTGCAACTCCCATTTGGAGTGTCAGTTCTTTCGGTTTTATGCGCATATGTAATATCATGTGTGCATATTGTATTGTTGACAACGCAACGATGTTCGGTTATGTTGGTTGTTGTTTTTTTTTTCTTCTTTTTTTTCTATTGCAAAATTATTGATGATAATTGAGAAATAAATATTAAATTAGCTGGTTAAATAAAAATTGTTTTTTTCTTTCATTCATTTTTGTGTATATATCATTTTCTCTTGATCTGCGGTGCTTTCCTGTTTGTGACATCATCGCATAAAACCGTCATTGGTCGTCAAAAATCTCATTGAAATTTAATTGAATGTTTATGTATTTTCTTCATTTTTCACATTCAATGATTGTTGTTGCGTTCCTTTTTCCTACTGTGTTTTTTTTTTCGTTTGCTTATCAATGGTTTGGGTCTTATTTTTTTTAAATGCTGTATCATGATTTCAAACGCAACAAATTATATTATGTTGTAAATCGTTGTCACTACCGTCGTTGTCGCGTCCGCCACCGCCGCCACCAATCGTAATGTTGTTGTTGTTTCTTGTTCATTTGTGTGAATGGCTTATTTGCTCAAAACATGAACTGCTTCTGTTTCGTGGAGGTTTGTTTTTCGCTTCTTTTCATTTGATCAAAACTAATACAAGTGAACTAACTGGTAGTTGAAAGCGCGACTGTTGCCACTACTTACATACATTTTTTTAAACAGTGATTTTTCTCAATTGAATGCTGTTTGCGGTATGGTGCGAAAACTGAGTCTTTGAATATATTGATGACGTTATGCGGTGTGTATGTGCGCACTGTTGAGCTTTTGCTGTATAAAGCTTGGCGTTTATGTATACGTGTGTGATAGAGCTTGTGGTGTGTGAGCCATACCACCATCTGACTTCGTCGTTCAAATGTATTGAGACGTTTGAATTTTGCTTTTTGATTGTTTGCTCTCACCACATTGAAGTGTGCGCATTGGATTGTTGTTGTTATTTTTGTTTTCATTTCATATTCTGTTGCTGGTTGCTTTTAACACAATCGTTCCGTTTCATTTTCATTGTGATTTCATATTGCCACACCGACAATCTACTTTAAATGACCATAAGATGGAAAAAGATAGCCAACTGCTTAAGATGTATGCACCGTACTGTTTAGTGAATGATATTACACACAATTGGCATTTATACACATTCCAACATGAATATACATATATTTTTTTTTTAACCGTTTGTGATGGGTTTTTCTTTTTCGTTGTTTTTGTTGTTTTTTTTTTTTTGTCTCTTTCCCGACAATTTGTACGGTTGTGCGGTTTTTGTTTACTGTTGTTGCTTACCACATGCGGCAAAAGGAAATTGGTGATCGCTTTTTGTAATGCTATGAGAGAGCGCCGTCGTCGTTCAATCGAGCAAAATTTTGTGTATAAAAGCATGGAAACTTCAGCGAATTGTATCAGTCACATTTCTGTACTCCAAACAGTACTACAAACAGTTCAACACAGATCATCTTATACAAGATAAAAAAATACTTAAAATAATCAAAATGTTCAAGTTGGTAGGTGATCCAAATTGAATTGCTTTTTTTTCAAACATAGTTTTTCATTGTGATACATTGAATGAACAGTAGTTTTTTGTAGTGCAAATTTATTTTTGATTCTGATGGATCAAAATATAAAGAGATTCGAAATTGAAACAATTTGTTGTCGAAAAATCAAAATTTGCAAATGGATTAAACAACAAATTTAAGCAAAAAGAAAATTGAATTTTTTGTTTGTTTTTTTTTTTAAGTTTCAACGAACTTTTTTCAAAATGAAAAGTTTTACTAATGAGCACCATTGTTTTGTTTGTTTGTTTGTTATTTTTAAAGTTGGTGTTGTCTGTTCTCGTTGCCGTTGCCGCTGCTGCTCCAAGTGGTATCCATGGATATGCTGCTTTACCATTGGCCTATGAATCCTATCCAGAATATCATGTGTCGAAAATTGTGGAACATGTGCCAACCGCTGTGAGCCACCAAAGCCGCGTTGACTACCACTCAAAACCAGTCATCACCCCAATCATTGCTCCAGTAACAAAGGTCATTCCACAACCAGCCTATGCTGTGCACAGCGCTCCACTCGTACATAGTGCTCCACTTGCATACAGTGCTCCAATCTACCATGGAGCCGCTTACGGATATGGTTATGATGCACATGCATGGAAATAAATCCACTTCCCCTCAACTGATCCAGCAGTCAATTTATCGAAATTATTAAGCACTCAATAGTTCGTGTTTTGAACACCACCGTTTTTGCCACAATCAACTCTAAAATAGTTACACATTTTCAGCTGATATGGAAAATCGATTCTACACAACAAATTCACATCTTCACTAATTGACTGTGACCCGATTTTCCATCCAATCACTCAATACACAAAAGAAACACAACCTATTTTTTATGTACCACCGGAAAACTATTTAATTTATACACAGTAAACGGCAACTGCATTATCTATTGTTCTTAAGTTGAAAGATTAGATAGTGTGCATTGAATGAAAATAATTTAATAAAGAAAAAAAAAAAGAGATTTTTTTAACAAAAATTTAAAACAACATATGTTTTTATTCCTTCCATCTTCTTCATCTTATCTTCCAGCTAGCTAATTTCAGTAGTATTTCAGATTTGGTGACGAAAAGAAATTCGTTCAACGAAATTTCTGGCTACGAATTCGTCACATATTGTTTTGTGTTCGAAAAACAGCCTTACTCACTAATTTTATGATGCATGTTAAATTGTATCATTGGCCGCGTTTAAAAAATAAACCATGAAATAAACCGTGTAAGAAAATGTAATTGATAAAGGGCCATGTTCAAGTGCATGAAAAGTGTTGTGCTTGTCGATTGGTGTTGTTTTTTTTGCTGGGGTCGGTGAAACCGATTTTAACGCAAATTTCAATTTAATCGCCTCTAATTTGGTTTTTCTTTTCTTGCTCTTTGGCCAGACTGGTAGTCTCGTATCTAATAGCATACAATATGTGGCTGTCCTCCAGAGGCAAAAGCATTGAACACCGTCTACGCTTTTCATGTAAAATAAACATCTATAATTTAATAAGCAATGGTTGAGTACTTCATTTGCAGTGAAAAGTTACCAGTTTGATGGTTTTTTTTCTTTTCTCGTTAATGTTGTTGTTTTTTCAACTATGCTGTGTGCATTGAATGGAATTGGAATCGAATTAAGTCGTTTTACTTTGAACTTGTGCGTTTGAACGCACCGTGACCGTTTCAAATCGATTGAAATTCATTAACACACGCGATGCGTGCCGTCCGAATAAAATCATCTAATCATCGATCGATTTGAAAAGAGAAAAAAAAACATTGAAATCGAGCATATCGTCTTTGCATTGAGCGTATGTTGTGATAATCTCATCATTTCATTGGTTCGATATGAATTGGCGAATTTGATCTCGATGAAAAGAAAAGAAGAAGAAGAAAAATAAAAAACAAAAAGTAAGCATGCCCGTTTGGCGCGTGATTTCAATAAATTCCATTCTTTTATCATACAAATTTTTGCAGACTGTTCAATCATATTATTGGAGGATTTAAAGTTAATTTGAGCTAATTTACACACAAATACATCGAACACATTTTCAAGGCATTTTTTTCATAATTTTTTCTCGTTCATTATGGGACAAGGTTTATTATGGCGGTGTGTCCGGATAATATGCTCAGCTCTCATTTTTGCAAAGTGATTAGAGTTGTTGTTGTTGTTTTTTCTCATTCGTTCGTTATTATTATTACTTTGTTGGGATTTTCACTCCTACTCTATCTGCTTCTTTTTTTTACAAAATGCCAGAATGCGAATGTGATATCGCCAGTTGATGGAAATAAAATTTCCATTTATCCGAAAATAATTTCATTTGTATTCGATGATTGTCGAATCCAATGAAATACGCGCGCAATCAAGCAGCTTTCTCAAAACAACCGAACAACAATAAATGTATCGAGCTTTGGCAAATATGTTGCAATACACTCATATACACCGAAATAATTCGACAAGTACGAGCGCCAATCAAGTGTTTGGCTTGTCGTCGTATAACAAGATATCGTTAACAGACACATTTTTGAAGCGGCAATCATTATTGTCACAACGATTGATTTCCATTCACACATAAAAAAAAATGTATGCTGAGGACAATGGCGCTAAACGATCTGCAGTTGAATCAAAAATAAAAAAATGTTTTACTATTTGAGTTGAACTTGTTAATTTGAAAATGTGATTTTTGATTGTGATCATGTTTGTTTGGATTGTTGTTTTGGCGGCTGTTTTGCAATTAGTTCTGTTCAGCGCGTTTGAATGAATGATGAATCGAATTGGCAAGTGCCACACACAGAGTGAGAGATAGACACACACAGCCATGATGGACAAAACATTCGCGTTAAATCGATTGGGCAATTCAATCATCCATTAGAATTTAACGGTTCGCTCATTCTTTCATTGACTACGAGGATCGAATTGGATTAAATTGGTTCCGATCGTGAAACGATCGCATTGAAAACGTGCTGTGAATGTTGAACATACACCAATAGTACTACCATGATATAGTAGTAGCCGAAGTGATGTATTTTTTTTCGGCATCGAATAAAAAAGCGTCTATTTCAAATCACTGTAATTATTGTCGTATATTTATTTTATACTGTTTGCTAATTTATTTCTCAATTCATTCATTTCGATTCTCCAATTATTTTCATATTACTGAAATCCAATGATATTGCTGAACAAACAACAACAATAAATACTACCACATAAATCCACATTAAAAATGACTTCTCAGAACAATTCAATCTCACATTTCAATGCAATCCATTTTGGATTTGTAATGGTGGATTCCATTTGTAAGCGCGTTTTGCGAAAAATAGCCTCAGCTTAAACGGTTCACTGTTTATTATAGTTTCCCATTAGGTGTGCGCAATTTCAAGAAAAAAAAAACTCCTTCGCCAAGTTCCTTGCTTGCGGAGAATGGGAGAGAGATTATTGGTTTCGATTCTGCTCGCCATATATCACGAATCGCTTCGGTAGCATAGCCAGACCAAATTCTCACACAAACCAAACAACAGAAGTAAATCAAACATAATTTTGATCTCACGTAAAATTGGCTATGAAAATCATTGGGTAATGAAACACACACATAAAACCAACAAATTCACTTGGTAATAATGGGTTTGCTCAGATGTGGTCAAGGTAGCAGCTGAATATCGTCAACCGTACCATACCAAATAACGGCATAAATGTACGAGCCCGATGAACGTCGGTAATAATCTGAACAAGTAGCAATTGTTGTTGTCAGTTGAGTTTCTTCTATGGAAATGATTGAGAAATTCAGAGTCAGAGAGTGCAATTTGTGTTTTGTTTGTTTGTTTGTTTACTGGTTGTTGTTTTTTTTACCACATTGACAATAAAATCGTGCAAAGAGACAAACCAACCGAACAATAATCCATTGCATCTGATCACCGTCGTCGCCATTATGCCTCTTTCAATTGTGTTTGTGCAAAATTTGTTTCGATGACATATTTTTTTCTCTTAATTTTGCACAACCGATTGTCCTCTCGCGCATATACGCCACGAGCACCAGATATCTTTGAGAAGAAAAAAAAATTATATCTGAGAACCAAACGGAATGCCGCACATGAGTCTTAGTCATCAACGTGCGCGACAATCAATTTCATTTAATGAGAACATTTTTGTTCCTCAGCATTGCATAATGGGCACAACGACAATCGTTCGTGATCCATGAGAAATGGAACCACACGTTATTGCCATTGCTATATACATAGATATACCAACGCGTACCGATAAACGAAATAGACGGGAAAGAGAGAAAAAAATGGCAGACAATGTTATTTTTTTTAAGAAAATTGTTTTTTTTATTCTAGTTTTTTTTTCGGTAAATTTTTTTTACAATAGAATATTTTCACATTCGAAATAGTATTTATAAAAAACGGTAATTCGGTGGTAAGTTCCTAAAATGTGACTAGCTGTGATGATGGTTTTTCACAAAGTCAATTCTGATGTCTTTTTTGTTTTGCATACGATCATAAACAAACAAAAAAATAATAAAATAAAATAATTGAAAAAAAATTAAAAATTGACGAAAATTCGTTTTTTTTTTCCTATCGTAAATCGAATGTGCAAAATGTTCGAATTGCTTTTAATCCGATTTTGACTGCATCTGAATGGCTTTTGATGTTGGTTTGGCTCATCTCAGTGTTGTGAGTATGTGTGGTGACTGTGTTTACCATAAAGCTGGTGCACTGTAAGCGCTGTAGGCAAGAGGAGCTGAGTATGAAAGTGGAGCATGTGCATACGACAAAGCTGGGGCGGCATGATATGCAACTGGTGATTGGTAAACTGCTGGTGCGGCGTAAGTCTTGTAAACTGGAGCGGCGACAACTGGGGCTGAAATGATTGTTTTTTGTACCGGAGTGATGACTGGGGTAACAACGGCACCAGTGCTGTGAACAACTGATGATGAATGGGATGATACGCCAGTTGGAATGCTTGAGACGACTGATCCTACTTGGGCGGCTGTTGATTAGAAAATGTCGAAAAAGAAAGCCGTTAGAATTCCATTAAATGTGTGTAGAAAGCTTTTTCTATAAAAGTTTTTTGTTTTATTTAGAATTCGTTCTTACATGAGTGGACGACGACGGGTGGTGGTTGAACAATCTTGGTGACAGCTGGTGCAGCAATAAGAGTTGGAGCGGCCAAATAACCACTTGGTTTGGCAGCAGCCAAAGCGAAGAGAGCAGATAAAACAATCTAAACAAACAAAGAAAATCAATAATAATGTATCACTAATAATGAAATTGTGCGCACAGAAAATTGATTAAATTGTACAATTTCGTCTGAACAAGCAAAAACCAAAACAAAAACAAAAAATATTATGCAAAATGATTAAAATGATTTCGACTCTCAAAAATGTTGAAATTCGGGCCCGAACACGAATTTGCAAGAATTCGGAATAAATATGACAAACAAGAGGCACATACCAATTTGAACATTTTGAAAGGTTTGGGTGTTTGTTGAATTTTTGTTTGAAAAAAATTAAATAAAAAGCTGAATGCTACGACTGAATAAATCGAACTCAAACAGTTAACTGATATAGTTTGGTATTTTGCGACGCCTTTTATACACTGGATCATCTAACCATTTCCAATTTTTCGTCATGATCACAGAGAGCACAATGATCAGTATGCAAGAGCATACAACACACCAAACAAGCCCACTTAATAAGAGAGTTCGCAACACACCAAAGGAGAATGAGAGAGAAGAAAAGAGAACGGACCGTTGCGATTACGGCAAAGAGGCATTCGAAAAATACAGCTAAAATAGTGTTGCTTCGTACTCCAAGCAATTTTCTCTAGGTAATCCAAATGCCATGCACAGTAGTAACAGTAGCCGCCACCGCCGTTACAAACACACCGAGAAGACAATCAGAAAAGACAAACTTACACACATGCCGCCGTTATTGGGAGACACACGGTTATTGTTCATTCATCACACATCAAATTGAACAAATGGAAAAACTTGATCCAATACACACATACAGATAGAGAGAAAGAAAGAGCGCAAGCGAGAGTAGAGCACATGTGCGCACAATATAAAGTGTGAATGCGAAAAAGAAAAATCTACATATTTTATGCAAACGGCACATGCAATGTTTTACAATCGATGTGACCATGAATTTTCTCTCATCCATATATATTCGCTCACGCACATAATATTACACACGCGTAGATCAGCGATATTTATATAAATATATACATGCACAATATGGTACATATACACACATTCGACCGATCGTTTTCCATTTTCATTCGAACAATAACATACAAAGCATTCGATTTTTTTTATGTGGCTGAGACCACGTGCGAATTAATTTGTTGACGCATTTTTATTGTTCGCATAGCATTTTTTTCTTCGTGCGAATGGTTTTGCACACGATCGAATCATCGAATGGTAAGAGTACACCAACCGCTGACATTTCCTCGAACAAATGCCAAATTTTGTTGAGGTAATCGGAGGTAATAAAACAATAAAAAAAAAACGTGAGAAGAGACAGAGAAAGACACGAAACAGGATCTTGGATCCCAACGAATTCTACACAAAATGAAAAACATGTTTTGATGTTGTCATCGATTTTACATTTTTCCACATACATTTTATTCTCATAAGTTATGATAATAGTACAGCAGCATGTGTAGTATACATTGTTTACTCGTCTCCAATTGATATTGAAGGAAATGCATATTCAATTATATGAGGTAAATCGATTGTTACTGACTTATTGCTGCGACCACGTCGATGGTGCCTGTCGTCATCGCTATTGTTGCTATTGTTATATGCGAATGCAAAATGTTCTACGAACCAGGATCTCGAATGCATTAAGGAGCAATTATTGTACAACAAACGACAATAAAAATATATATATATTTAATTGTGATTACTGAGTGGCTTGTCTATAAATGTGCTCCACACATACATATCAACAATTTAATAGTTGGTAAATGCGAAAACCAAGCTATACATCAATTTTGTATGTAAATTTAATGGCGTTGATTCAATTAATGAATTGCCTACGCTAAACCATTATATTGAAATCGTTTGATTTCGTCTAATTGCCATTCAAAAACAATAATCTCCGATATCGTTGATATATGCTCATATCCATACACAATAAATCTATTTGTTTTCGTATAACCCTATCAAAATGAAACTACTTTCTATCTTCTACAGTCATACATGTGTGGTTACTGTAATTCATCCAGTCATTGTGTTTAAATAGCACATTCGTGATTTTGTCGTTAATTCTAGGTCTGAAAACTAGTTTTATTTTTTAGTTTCGTGTGTAATACACGAATGGATTCGATTTTGAGTGCCAATCTCATAATGTAAAATGAGTCATTCCTGTTTCATCATTTCGAAAATTGATTCCGATTGAATGGTCCGTCAACCTGTGAATTGAAATCATAATTATTTGTGTATAAATTGAATTTGGTGCATTATTATTGTGATCGATAAAATTTCGTGTGTGACGGCATATATGCGCGTGGACGTCTTATTCAAAGTCATTCGATCTTTGGTCTCTGTCTATTGTTGGATAATATCTTTACTGTGTGTTGCTGTTACGTAGAAATAAGACTGGAGCATAAGAAAGAAAACATAAAAACCATAACTCAGCTAGCTGAATTGATTTCAGACTTTCGTTCATTTTTCGCTTATGATTTCTTTGTTTAATTTTGCCCAAGAGCTGTTGCTGCTATTTATTTAATCGTATTTCTTTTCAAGAATGAAGCCAAAGGAATGCAATGTGAATTATTTAACAGTTCGTTCGATATACCATTACCAACTTAATACACCTCACATTAATCTTAAGTTCCTGGTTGAATATGTGTGCTTTTTTTCTCTTCTCTCTCTCTCTCTATCTCTTCTATCTTTCATACTTGCATTCATTATTATTATTTTTTTTTGTTTCTCCGCGTCTTTTGTGTAAGAGATTCCGTAGGTGCAAAAACAGCCCAAATCGATATTTTATTTTCTCATTTTCCTTGATCGTTTGAGCCGGGCCTCAGAATTGTACTTTCGCTGCCAATTAATATTAGTATTGGCTTGGTAACCAACAACACTCTAACGGACGTACTACGAAAAGAACGATTTTTTAGTTGTTGTTGTTGTTGCTGTTTCTCGCACATGTTCCAAACAATACATTTACCTTTCATTCTGCTTAGTGTCTTTTTTACGCTCTCACTATCTCTCGCTCACATTTTGTGTTCGCATGGAACGTATGTTAATAGCGATCGGCTTCGGTCGCAATTGTTTTAATATACTTTAGAAGAGAATTGTAGTGCATTAGATGAAAAATTGAGACCAAAAATCCAAAAGTTTCGCTCGAATGGAATGCATTTCGATACGGTAACTAACGTATATATGTTGTTATATGTTACACCCGTTGGATTACATCAAATTTATCGCAAAGAGAAGAAAAAAATTACAACAAAATATATGAAATGAAAATGAATGAAATTGTAGAGAGATTCAAATGGAAAAGTAACGAGAATGTGTGTATGTTAGGAATAACACGTCCAGCGAAAAGTTATACGACAACGATAGCGAGAGTGAGATGGAGAAATGTTGTTGTTTTGTTATAATTGCCGGTGCTTGAATCCGATACGAATCGACCAAATCGAAAAAGAAGAAGACGACGACGAAAACGAAGAACGAATATATGTGCATGGTACATATTTGACTTGCATTCGAAAAGCGTTTCATATTACGTAATTGCTTCTCTCTTTTTTTCTGTCACTGTAATGGCATTTTTCCTCTCATTCACTAACTCTCATCAACTGTAAATGCGCGTTAGTTTTTCAGACACAATCAAATCTCTGGCCATTCACAATGGGAAACCATTTTTCTATGATCATTCGCCCATAACCCATACACCAAACACCGGCTGCTTTTTTGTTTGTCAAATACTTTGCAATTGAAATAGAATGGGCGAGTGCGAAAGAGTGGCCGATTCAATTTGAATAACTATCCATCGCATCGGACGGTGAAAAGATTCGAAAACTTTAGATCGGATTATTTAATAAAGAGAAGAGAGAAAAACACAACAACGACGACGACGATTGAGCCGATGAAGAAAAAAAAAATTAAATTATGGTCTTTCAAGTGTTTAAAACGTTGGAATTTCAATAAAATTTTAATCTATTTGCATGTGATTAAACAGTAAGTACATAATACAAGCGGCATAAACATACAAACGCGTGCGCTCACCGAATCGACAATGAGGTAAACAAAAAAAAAAACATAGTCAAATTGAATTGGTTGGTCGCGGGTGTTTTTGCATAGAGAATATAGCCAATTTTTTTTTTTCTTCTCTTTTTCTTCTTCTTCTCTTTCATGAAGCACAAACAACATGTATCATATTTCAAAATCTTAGATAATAATCGATGCACACTTTTTAATAGCACCGCCATTCGACATTAATAGTCAAAAACCAGCTCGACCGTTTGTTGAATTGTAATGTAATAATGTCGGCTTTATTCGCGAAAAATGATTCGGCGAGAATGGGCCGTTCAGTTGTCGCCATGGGATCAATATATAGATACAAATATATTGAATAATCGAATGATGGTGATGATGATAATTTCGATGTTTTTTTTTTCTTCATCTCTTCTAAATTGTCATAGTGCGTTGACTTTCTCGTTCAGCATCAAGATTAATGGTGGTTAAAAATGATGTGGGAGACCGATTGACACTGGGTGCCCATACGGGCTGACACAAGAACAACGAATTTCTAAAATTTATAATCGTGTGAAATGGATTGAAAACCAACCAAAAATTTCAATTTCTTTCGTTTGAAAGCGCCCACACTGAATGACAGGCAGACCAAAAAAAGCCTTGTTTTTTACCAAAAAAATAGCAACGATAGAAAGAACAACATGACTGCTAAACAAGTACTTTACTCGGTGTCTATCACGTTACCCATTTTGCACAGAGAGTGACTGGGAGACAAATGCACGCTCGAGCAACAAGCAAATCCATTGTGAAAACTCAGAAGAAAAGAGTTAACAACAAATTGTAAATTGAAACGGATATATGCCTGCACCCGACTTTTATTTACATTTTACCAAAATGAATGGAATGGATAGAAAAAGAAAAACGGTAAACCATCAGCCAAAGAAAAAAACACATTTTAAACTACGAAGCCGAATTTCAGCATGTGTATTAGAAAACAAAATCAAATACAACGAAAAAATGCACATACAACAAGATAATATTGCCGAATGGCCTGTCGCTTAACAATTTACATGAAAAACATGAAATTTCGAAAATAGAAAAGAAGAAAAATGATAATAATAATGAAACTAGTGGATAGACAAAAAAACTTTTGCATAACAATATGAAGTGGCTATATGCTTTTTTTTCTGCTCAACTTAGTTCCGTATGTATGATAGAGCATGTAATCTTTATGACTACGTCGCGTTGTACTCACTCACATTGCACTAATCGAAGGCGCACGAAATGCCGATTATAAACATTGCAATGGCAATATCGAATTCATGTTCTACATGCTTATGTAGTTTTATCTACATTTCAATGCGCTTGCGACACCATTCGTTTGCATCCGTTAATTGAACATTGTGACTTTGGTTTGACGTTGTATGTTTATTGCCAATTTGAATGTGGCACATTTTCACGGAAAAACTCACATTCCATCCGCACTTTGTTTGTCTTTGATATGAATGTCATCGTCTCAGGAACTCTATGTACGATATTTTTGTAATTTTCGGTGAATTTGACTTCAAATTTGCACGAACTTTTTGGGGTAAATGAAAATGACAACGTTTTTAACTTAAATACTTTCATAGAATCCAATATAATCTCGTTTTTTTTTTTTGCATTACAAAAGAAGTGACGAAGCAACGGTATTGAATTTATTCCAGTTTTGTAAAATGCAACAATTTCATTGCATTCCGGCCATTTTTGAATCGATGGTTAAAATTATTTCCTCAAACTTGTTCTGTACTATCTAAAAAAATATTACCAAATATTGGATTTTGCACTTAACAAAGACAGGAATAAAAAACACAGATGGAATAAGATTGTTGATGTCGTCAATACTCAAAAATGCTTATCTTGTCGCTGCTATTTTAAAATTATATTTTTATCCACATCATCAGTTTTTGTAGCTATCAATTAAGAAAACCATGAAACTCACACCTGTTTTCTAATATCAAATTGAGATAAATCAGTTCTGGTAAACGAAAAAAAAAAGTATTGTATTTATTGCCATGCATAGCTTCTCAGCAGGGGTCCGAGTGGTTGGATTACAACCCCCACCCCCCCTGGAGAAGAGATTTGCTAGGGATTTTCGCCTTTTTTTAGCTCCTCAATTTCTGAAGTGGGAGTAAATATAAAATTTAGCTATGGTTTTTGTTGGCGAAAAGAAGAATCTTTCAATTTGCTAGGGTTTTTTGAGCCAAATGCTCTGAGACACCCCCCTAGTTAGGAAGAAATCAAATAATGCATTTTTGAATTTGTGAAAGACCAAATAGAAAAAGTAAAAGGTTACCACTTTAGATTTTGAGAAAATTTTGAAATTAACCCCCTCCCCCCCGTGGATCGTCAACTTCAGAAGCTATGTTGCCATGGCAAATGTATGGTGATTTTTTCTCGTACAACATTGGTCACAAGCCAAAGATAGAATCCCAGGCTGTGCTCATTTTTATTTACGTATCACTTTTGAAAGCTATTGTCGTTGGGAATTTTATTAATTTAAATACGAAAATTATTAAAATGAAATAATGAAACAGCTGATTATTCTGAGAATTGAATCAAAAATCAATTATCATCTTTTGGGATATCAATGATCTGAAAACATATCTATATTCATTTATTCCGCATAAGATAAAGTCTAGGGGGAATTATCTATACGTTTATACGGTTTATACTCAAATATTTTTTATCGAATATACTATAAATGAAGACATCGCAAGTATGCCGCATATACGCTGCATATATGCGTATAAGCCACATATATACGGAGTTATTTGCAAATATTATTTGCGAATATTCTTCGGTACATACGGTTTATATTCTTATACACAGCATATTCGTAACTTATTTTATTCGATATTTTCCCCTAGGATAAAGTTGTTTTCGGAACAAATAAAAAATGATTTCGATGAAAAGCGAAAAAAATGAATGCATCAATTTGATAATAATAGTCTGTCCACCAAATTATTATACATATAAAAAATGTCGCATAGACTATTCAAATTAAAGAATAGCTATTTTTGAACTTGACTAATTAGATGACGAGTCAAGTTCCATTCGATAAATTAAAAAAAATATTATCAATAAATTATGTATGTCAAAATTTGAGACAAGTCAAAGTATAAAAGATGTTGCAGAACACCAAATTGTATCAGTTTTCTGTTTGAATTCGATTACTACAGCCGTTGAATCCAGTTGGAAAAAAACCTTTAAAATGTTCAAATTGGTATGTGACTGCTAATAATTTCTATTCTTCTATTGTTAATTTGGTTTATTTTCTTATTTAGATTGTTGCAGCATTGTTCACCATCTTTGCTTTGGCTTCTGCCAAACCAGGCTACTTGTTGTCGTCACCAGCAATCGGTAAACTTTTATTTCATATAGAATTTCTTATGTTTGATTGAATTTGGCTAAATTCTTCATTATTCCTCATAGTCTCAGCCCCAGTTGTTCGAACCTATGCCGCTGTACCATCTTTCTCATATTCAGCACCAATTGCATATTCTCCAATTTCGTATTCATACCCTTCGTATGCTTACAGCGCTTATAGAGCATATAGCCCGATTGCCTACACAACTCTTTAAACGATTCACCGATCAAATTCCGGATACAGTACGATGATATTTTTTTTTAATTTCAAGAAAATAGAACCACTTTCCAGATGTCAAAATCATAGATTTCTTTAAAAACAATAAATTTACTGCAATTATGAAAATGTATCCATTTTATTTGTCTCTTCCAATGAAAAGATGCATGAAAAACATTCGTTTACGACAGATCAGCCGACATTTTGTACAAAAAGACTGAGTGAGTAAAACTTTCACTGGGAAAGCAATGCACAATTGCACCGATTCTTTACTTTATATAATAAAAAAAATAAGAATGAAACCATTTTCATCATCAATAAGCGAGATATAATTTTACGGACGTTAAATAATAGTATTTTGAATGAATATTTTGATACAAACTCTCCGAAATAGATGCTTTTAAAACCCATAATTTAAATAAAACAACAGCATTAGCTATAAAATGCAGTTTGTATTTTGAGTCGGTGTTATCATTCCATAGATCTTATGCATTCCACATAGCTACGATTAATCATTTATTTCGAAATATAAACGTACCGAAAACTCACCGCGATTGTAATCTTTTTTTTGCAAATTTATCGTTTTTTCCATTTTCATCAATATTAATAAACGGTTACAAAGAGTTCGCTTTACGATAAAAGTAGACATGATTTCGTTGAAATTTATTTTTAACAAGTTGATTGAGATAAAATAAAAAACCAGTCTGTCTTATAATTTTCTTTAATTTGTATATAAGGTTGCTTGATGTATATATATTGGTAGATCTCGTTTTTTTTCATCGAATGTCAATAAATCAAGTTTTTGCTGGAGTTCAAACTTCATATTTCTGGTTTATTTTTCTCGATCAAGTGCATAAGAATCGTTCTTGGTGTGACGAACGAAAGAAAAAAACAGTGTCTTTGAATTTGTACTAGTTTTTTTTTATTTGTCCGGTAAAAAATTTTTGTGATTTATTTTTTTGTCACATGCGAAAGGATGTGATTTTTACTTTTGCAAAATAATGGTTTGAAAATTCAGTCAAATGAACGAATTTTGAGATATCAAAAATGGTAGTTAACCAAGAACATTGGATTTGTTTTTATCGACTGCATCCGGATGACCTTGATGCTTGTCGTATTCATCTCAACGATATCTAAATTGTTTACCAAGCATTGTAACCATTGTAACCATTGTAACCATTGTAACCATTGTAGGCGTATGGTGATGCTGCTCCGTATGTAGTATAGGCTGGTTGGGCTGCATATGAAAGGGCTGGAGCAGCAGCAACTTGGTATGATGAGTATGATGAGATGGCTGGTGCAGCTGCGTAGGTCTTTACAACTGGTCCTGCGACATAAGGTGCCGAGATAACTGGGGACACGTAAGCCTTTGAAACTGTGGAAAAGAAACAAACACATTTAATTTCCACATTTATTTTCTTTTTATCATTTCCAATGCGTTTACCTGCTGGAACGAGGGCTGGTGATGACAACAAGAGTCCTGGTTTGGCAGCAGCCAAAGCAAACATGGCGAATAATGCAACAATCTAAATGAATTTTTAGAATGAACGAATAAAATGAAATTAGAACCACAATTAAGAAATTGTACGCACAGAAAATCGATCAAATTGCACAATTTCAAAATAACCAAAGTATCCAAATTGTACTTACCAATTTGAACATTTTGAATGGTTTAGTTTTAAGCTTGCTACGACTTTATAAATCGAACTCAAACAGATAACTGATGCAATTCGATATTTTCCAACGTCTTTTATACTCTGGATGACCCGAACTATTGGCTATGTACTTTGTAAAAGTTGTTATTCTTATTCTTATCTAAAACGAAAGAAAAAAAAAACAATTCAAGGAAGCAATCGCCGGTCACAACAAAAATATCGAAGCATACACACAGTCAGCATATGCTTTATTATGGCGCTTCATGATCATTCTTGTTATTTCGTCATGCGGTCAAATTTCATTGTATGTACGTACATAATTTAAATGTGATCAATTGAAATAGTACAAGATATATAGAATACCATCACGGACTGGTTTATCATCATAAAACAAGGAAGAAAACGCTTTAATTAAATATACGGTGTGTGTCCATATCTGTTCAATTCCATTGCATCTACTATACATCATATATTCATGCGCGTATTAATTCAAGTTATCGTTCTTATTGGTTTACGCTCGAAGCATAACACGCATCATTGTATGTTTTGCCATTGCGTGCCTTTAATGGTAGCGACTCGTAGCGAATTTTCAATTTAATATGGAGCAACATTAATGCGATTTTACGAATTTAACAAAAAAACCGGTATCTTTGACGATTACGTCGCAATTACACACGCAAATGTGATGATGTGACGACACGACGACTCAAAAAAAAAACGAAATATCAATAAAAAACAAGAGAAAGAAAAAAAACAACTCAAACACATTGGAGGAAAAAAAATTAAATGGGCAAATATTTTGAAAATACGCAACGCGTATCATGAAGACACCGAAAGTAATTGAAATAAAAAAAAAACACAAATTTCACCTGGATATAATTTTTTTTGTTTCGTTCATTTTGAACGGATCACTTTGCGATTTCATTTTATTTTAATCATATGAATGCCGAGTTGATGGTCTTTAAACTCATGTCAACTCAATAAGTGACCATATAGTTGCCGTTGAAAGCAAATTTTAATGGGACATTTTATTTGAATTCAAGCTATTCATTTTGATACATTTTTTAAAAAACATTTTGACAGTGTGCATTACTTATATACGTCGAGGAGAGTGAGAGCAAGCGAGAGAAAGAGAGAGAAACCAGCAACGAAACAAAGAATTCGCGCAACTGTCAGGCACATAAGGGCAAAAGTATGTTCAAAAAAAATTATTCGATATTATCTTTCGTAAATGTAATAACTCTGTGCCATAAAATGTGATTTTGTTGTTGTTGTTGTTTTTTGTTGCAATATAGCTATGCTGTTGCCTTTTCATTGGTTCATTGTGGAAAAAAGCCATTTATTTGTTTGTTTGTTTTATTTTTCTGCTGAAATTGTGATCTTTTAAATCACTGACTTTATTATTGTGCCTCTTATCGTACGTACTATTTTTAATCGCTCGTTTGTGGGATTTTATTGTACTTTCGTTTAAGCCAACGAAATATTTCGGGCTACTGTTCGCTTGCCCACCACATACTTTGATGCAACCATTTTTTTCATACTTTTTTTTTGGTCTCAGAGAACAAAAGAAAAGCAAAAAAGCATTCAAAACAAAAAAATGAATTGCTTTTAGTCTGCGCATAACCGAAACCAAAAAAAAAAAACAGAAAAATATTTAACACGTCTGGTGATCTTGAAAAATGGCCTGTTTCTATTTCATCATAAAGCGAAAAGATGCGAGCATAAACATACAAAGTATTTTAATTTTGCTTTCAATTTAATTTAAAGAGGCTCATTTTGGCCGACTTAGCACTACTGTTTGATGTATGCATACATTAAAGCCTCCGAATTTGAATTGACCAACATCGCTTGATGAATAACAATGAAGTCTATACCCAAAATCCATTATATTCACAACAATCCGTCATAAAAAATCACTCTTCGGGAGCGTCGAAAAACAAAATTAGCTCCAAGTACCCTTTAAATTGAAGATTCCATCTTATAGAATTGCCGGAAGCTTACTGGGAATCATTTATATTCACATTATTAATATGACAAAATAAAAATCAGGTGATTGTGATCTTGTTTGTCTAGCGTCTCGTTTTTTTTAGTCAACCTTTTAAACTTTAAAGTGATGCGAAGAATATGCTTTGGGTTTAAAAATAACTCCTTTTTTGTATGATAACAAGATGAATCCAAATTTCCGCTAAAATTGAAACGAATGAATAGAACTCTTTTTGTTCTGTAATCAATTTGCATGCACGATTCTTTTATTTTATATTTGGATAAACATTTTTGTAACTGAATCTTGTTTGTCACATATCAAAAATAATGTTGTTCTTTTCGACAAAGATAAACAAAAAATTAGGTTGAAAGACAATCAAAATGTGCAATGGTAAAAACGGTTGATTACATCTGAATGATGCATTTGATGCATTTGTTCGTTTTGAAGCTGTTTAGTATACGCGTACAAGACCGCTATAGGCTGGAGCACGGTAAAAGTATGAGCTTGAGTATGAAAGTGGTGAAACCACTGACGAATATGTTGGAACTATGAAGAATGAAAAAAATAAATAACGGACATACATTATAAGATCGCTCGAAATACATGGCCAATTGAAATTGAATTGAAATATTTGCTTACTGCCAGAAGCGATAATTGGTCCTGGTGCAGCAACCAATGGGGCGCCGATTGGCAAAAGCCCTGGTGCAGCAGCGGCCAAAGCAAAGAAAGCGAACAAGGCAACAATCTATTCGAAACCAAAAAAATTGAAATTATAAAACACTTATACCACATACCAATTTGAACATTTTTAAGGGATTAGTTTTTTTTTCCTTGCTACGATATAATCGAACTCAAACGGATAACTGATACAATTTTCACATTCATTGAGCCTTTTATACTCTGGATAATTTGAACAATTGATGCAATAAAACTGCATAATTGTTATGGATTTAATTGTTTATCTAAATAAGTTCAAGGTGGCTAACAATCTACTATTCAATAAGCAGTTAATTAGATGATTAAGCCGTTTGATCATTACATTTTATATGCTCAAGTAAATTCACATGTGAAACGCATAATATACGGTCTCACTGTTGTTGCCATCCGTAAAATGAAAAGTGTTAGACACGATTCAATGTGTTCCTATCTAATCATTTTCAAGAATGTATGCATATGAGGAAATGTAATTAATTTACGTAAAATGTATTTCCCTATTATTAGTTTTTTCGTCATTATTAATATCGATCGTGAACTAACAGACTTTAATTTCTCGTAAAATGTTATTTTCACCGTGCGTGCACGGTTTCGATAAATCCTTTGTCTATGATATTAAAAATAAAACACAAAGTTGCTTCCTTCATAAAAGTACTTAGTTTCAATTAAAATCTGTTTTACATGGTACTACATAAGGTATGATGGTAATAATATTTTTTAATGCACTCTACATTGTTGATTTTTCATATTTGATCATTATGCGATCGAAAACCAAATGAAAAATTATTTATCATGTGTTTTGATCGATCAGTGATCTGAAATCTCAATCAAAAACGCCATAAATGTTAGTTATCTAATTTTCAATCGGAGACTTCGGTTCGGAGCCATATGAAAAATGAGCAAAATTTATAACAATCTTGTCTTGATTTTGTCATCTGCAAATGAATTGTTTTGCTCTCTTGTTCTACTGCAGCATAACATTCGTTTTTACATAGATTCATTGTCGTAATTACAAGATCTATATTTTTACAAAGATTAAAAAGAGGTAAAAAAGGAGTGAACGAGTTTTAGCGTTGATGACTTTTCCTTTTCATTCAGAATAAATAGTAGAATTACGTCAATGTCGTATGTATTTAGTCGTTAAGCGTAAACATCTTAATTCTGAATTTAAACTATTAAAAGTTTGATTATCTGTTGATATTTTATTGAAAGCTATAAATGATTCTCACGCTATCATTATCTTCATTTGGTATTTCAGTCTTGTGAGTGGTAAACTAAATTTCGTCAAATTTGTCATATATTGCAGTATCGATCCGGATTTTTAGTCTAGATGTGATCAAAAAACAAAAAATAATAATAAAAAAAAAAACATTAAAACCAAGTAATGGACAGCGCTAAACCTAAACTCGATCAAATTAGAGGTCATCGTTTCGACGCCATTCATTTCCGATACATTAAATTACGAAAGAAACGATGTTATCTCTTCCAGACGATTCTGCCTCATTTGCATCGTGGACCACATGAATGTTACATGCATTCGGTTTATTTTTTGATAAAAATTGACCTTATGCGTTACTCAGCCATCGCTGGTTTTTTTCTCTATCTCATTCAGCGTACAATGAAAATTGACCGAAATAATACCATACCATTCATAAATTATGTATTAATCAATTGGATTGGATTTTCGATTTGAGCAACAAAAAAGTGCGAAGAAAAAAAAAGTGATCATTTCTCTGCACCAAAAAAAAAAAACGTACGGCTTGTCAATCAAAGTGGGCTGGTTAAATTGGGCAGCTCGACGGATGATTAGCATATAGAGAGTATGTACCGTGTCAGTGACGTGTTATTTTGGCATCAATTTACAAATTGACCAGTTTAATCTTCGACAAATTGGCCGCACATTAAATTGGACAAATCAACTGGCGCATGCAATATTACACGTATAATTTAACGAAATTCATGATCGTGAGAGGACGCAAATCAAGAGAAATAATATACCGAAATAAAAAAAAAACAATTGCATTCGTATTTCATTGCATTCGCCATCGCCCATGATCTTATTGCACCATATAACTTTAAAGTGACTTTATTTATTGTAATACAGTTGAATCGGATCTGCTTATGTTTATTCTTTCTCTCTCTCTTTCCACTTAAAAAAAAGTTGTTGTTTTTTTTTTAAATTCGTTGTTAATTTATCGGTTTAGTTATGGATTTGGGTCTGTAAAATTGGATCAATTCGTTCGAATTACTGTAGCTTATCAAGAAAAATTATGGAGATTTGTTTCCATTTATCAATCGCACCTGCTGTGATTAACGCTATGCAAACGATTCAGTTTCGTACAAAGCCGTGCGCATAGAATACATAACAAAGGAGACATCTCTTTTGTCACCTCGATTTCTTTGTTTGCTATACTT